GCCTGATTTTTATCAATCGCTGTGAAAATTGTAGCCGATCATATTTTTGCCTCGTGTTTTTTTTTTCGCCCTTTGCGGACGCCTTACAATCGCCTTCACCAGCCTTATCTGTATAGATGGTAAGGTTAGCCTTTATCATAGTTGTATAGATTTTATCGATGTACAATTCAGTGGTGAAATTGACATTAGTCCAACATAAAACTGGGCTACACAATAAATCATTTATCATGAAAATAAAATAATTTAAATCTAAATCGAAAGATTTCGATCTAAGATCGAAAACGTATAAAAACCGATGATGGAATGGAGGAATAAAGATTTCTACGTTTGATATAACAAGTAGAACAAACCAAAAATAACACGAACTATGAAACAGAGGAAGATAGTCTGGGCATTTAAAATTGTAAATTTAAAATAGCCCCGTAGACCAAAAAAAAAACAACAAAAAACAAGGATCATTGGCAACTTTTAAATTTTAAAGGATGTGTTGGAAAGAATAAAATCTAAAGTAGCCGAGACAGCTGAAGAAGAAATTTCCAAATTTTGAAACTCATGGCCAGTAGCGTAGCGAAGGGGGGGGGGGGGGGGAGCGGGGGGGGGACATATGTCCCCGGGGGCCGACCTTAGGGGGCGCCGAAATGGGTTGGAAAAATAAATTGAAAGGTTGAGGGGGGTGCAAATCGAAAGTTTGAGGGGGGGGGGGGATGCAAATCGAAATCTTGAGGGGGGGGGGGGTCGTAACGCCTCTGCTCATGGCTGAACAAACATAAAATAGTTAGAAGTTTGATCCCTTGTACGAGAGATCTGATTCATTAAAAGATGTATTTGTGAGAAAAGGAAGATAAATGGCAAACAAGAACGATTCCGATAGATTTAAACGTTTGAAAGAAAGGACGAAACGTAATAAAAGGTGTCTTATGTATCAGCAAATCGAGACTACCACTGGAAATCAATAAAAGCTTATAGGTTCCCGAATTTCAACAAACAAGCCCAACAAGCATGCACACGTTTTCCAAATTTATTTTAAGATTAACAACAAATCATCCAAGTTTCAAACAAAGCAGGAGTGATCTCCTATAAAATGTCTCGAACAATCTTATATAAAACTACGGGGGATGGCAACGTGGGTTATAAATATACTTTTTAATCCATTTTCAATTACTTAAATTATTTTAAAATCAACCCGGAATGATCTCCACTAAGCTTTCTCGATTATTCTGATATAACACTACGTGGGATAGCAACTCGGGAGATAGACATGATGTTTAATTACTTAATTTAAACAAAAAAATTGAATAGGATGTCGTAAAAAAACTATTGCGCACCAAGCGAACGACAAACAAAATGTGCATAATAGTGCGGAATACTATAAGAACTTTCTAAGTTTACATGCGTTTTTTGAGAAATCGTAAATATCATAAATTAATACTTTTGATTAACAGAAATTACTCAAATTTGAAAGAAGGCAAACAATTATCCCTTTTACTTACATGTGAAATTTCATTTATCTATCTATCTCTATACTACTAAAACTCAACTTTTTTTTTACATTACATGTTTGAATATTTATCTGTTTGTCTGATTGACTACTGTAGAGGATCTACGCTATATGTAGAACTCTAAAATAGTATGTAGGTAGAGAACATTTTTTCTTTTCAGACAGACTGTTGATCACAAATTTATTTAAAGACGTTAATTAAATTATTCATAGGTAGATTAACCACATAAATTTTAAAATTTTAAAACATTTTCTAAACTTTGTGGGAATAGTGACGTCACATGATGTGTTTAATTTTTAGTACAATACATGGCGACTTCAATCCAAGATTTAGTTGCCGATTTAGATGTTTAACGCGTTCTTAAACTAATTTTCTGTCGGCTATAACTTTAACAATACGTCCGTTTGCTATTTTTATTACGTTTCAACACTATTATCAATGTTTTAACACTTCATTTTATTTTATTTTACAATAAATTTAATTTGAAATAATTCTAGATCTAATTCTAGGGCTGATTCGCGTAGATTGTTACGCCGCTTACAAGTAAAATATATAAGTTATTAACTTCTCAAGAGTAATAGCCTAGATAGCTAAGAGGTTAGCGCATTAGGTTATCATTCGGGTGGCATGGGTTCTAGACATGCCAGTGTTTTTTTGTATTTTAATTTTTTTTTGGTTTTAGTTGTGAATGATAATAATGTTTTTGCCTATTGGAACATAGCGGGATACAGGGCGTGTGAAGTAGAGTTCACCTGTTTCTTCGTCCTCAGTATATAACGTTGATTGTGTCGTCAGAGCCATGCTCGGCCGGAATCATTTTTTTAATAGAGATAAAACATAGTGTCCGAGACTTGGCAGAACACTAGGCAGGTGACGTAGTGTTGGGTTGGTGTAAAGTTCACCTGTGACGACAACATATGAAGAGATAGTGTGGTCAGACCCACGCTCAGCCAAAATATGTGTTTTCACAGACAAAAACATGTCTGAGTTGGGAGGACACTGGGCAGGTGAAGTAGAGTTGACCTGTTTTTGTGACCTCAGCATATGAAAAGATTATGTTGTCAGACGAAGTCAGTGTTTTTAAAAGACTAAAACGTCTGAGATGTGACGCCTTTTTGAATGTGGGGTCTGGTTTTTTTGTGAAGATTAGTGACAGACGTGATGTCATTTATGGATGAACCCCGAAACCCACAGTTATCTAACTAGATAACGGGTAGTCTAGTATACTACTAAAACTCAAGTTTGTTTACATGTTTGAATATTTATTTGTCTGATTGACTATTGTAAATGGTTCTACTCTATGTGGAGAGCTGTAAAATAGTATGTAGGTAGAAAACAATTTTTCTTTTCAGACAGACTGTTAATCACAAATTTATTTAAAGACGTTAATTAATTTATTGATTTTTTCATAGGTAGATTAACCACATTAATTTTAAAGTTTTAGAACAATGGCTTAACTTTGACTGAATAGTGACGTTTGATAACTCATTTTTGTGTTTGTTTTTCTGATTTGTTATTGGGAAGAATCTGCATTATGTGTAGAGCTGCAAAGAAGGATTTTGGGTGGTAAATATTGTTCCTTCTTAAACACACTGTTAATTACAAACTAATTTAAAGCCGTTAATTAATTTATTGATATATTCATAGGTAGATAAACCACATTAATTATACAAGTTTAGAACAATGAATTAAGGAATAGTACAAGGCTTTATTTTCTTTTTACAACAATGTTTTCAATTACTTTTTTCTTAAGGCCTATAAGTGAATGATAAGGTTGACTATCAGGACCTCTCAGGGCACAGGGCAGGTGAAGTAGAGTTCACCTGTTTCTATGTTCTCAGCATATGAAGGGATAGTGTAATCAGAGCCATGCTCTGCCGGAATTGTTTTTTGTTTTAAATTTAAACATGTCTGAGACTTGGCGGGACACTGGGCAGGTGAAGTAGAGTTTAATAGAGTTTTTTAAATATAAAAAACCTCTTTTTGAATGTGGGGTCTGGTTATTTTGGGATGATAAGTGCTGACAGACGTGATGTCATTTATGGATGACCCCCGAAACCACAGTTATTTAACTAGATAACGGGTAGTCTAGTCTGAAATAAAACTCAAGTTATAGGCTTTTAAACATTTAAAAAATAGAAAATATCCAATTCTGTTTATCGGAAATCGCTGAAAAGCTGATACTGTTCTACAAATTTGATATAATTATATATGAAATTTCATCAACATAGATGTAACTGTAGTGAAGTTATCATGTTTACAGACACACAGACACACACACTTACACACACACATACACAGAAACGTACGAACAAGATTGTAAAACTATGTGTTTCAGACTCAAGGAGCTGTAAAACGTAGAAATTTTCTTTTTTTTTGCACGATTACAAGATTTTCTCTATACTTCGTGTTTACGAGAAAGTAAAAATAATAGAGTATCGCAACGAATGAACGGCAAACTATTTATTTATAGCGTAAATTGCTATATCCGTTCAACGGAAATTACTCAACATTTGATAGAAGGCAGAGAATTAGATATTTTATTTACATGTGAAATTACATTTATCTATCAGAAAAAGTACACAATTTATAGGTTTATGAAAAAAATTAATAGTATGATAGTAGAATAAGCTCCACTTCAAGTTATCGGAAATTTTAGAAAACTTGACACAGAACTACACGTTTGATATAATAATTATATATTAAATTTCATCAACCTTGCTGTAATAGTTATCAAGTTATAGTGTTCACAAAGATGCACCGTCACACACATAAACAAGCTCATACACACATAGAAACAGATATACGCACAAAATTATGTTTTTCCGACTCATAGAGGCGTAAAATGTCAAGCTTTGTAAAAACCTCGATTTCAATTTTGGAACGATTACAATACTTCCTCTATACTTCGTTTACGAGAAAGTAAAAAACAGGTTAGTCAACGTAGTATTATTGTAGAGTTAGCCCTAGATCTGGCAATGGGGCCATATTTGTTTAGATTCATAAACTGTGGTAAGTGTGTACACTAGTTTCAAGTTATAGGCTTTTGAAAAATTGAAAGTAGAAAAAGTTCTACTTTCGGTTGTCGGAAATCGCTCACAAATTGACACGGATCTACGATTTTGATATAATACTAATATATGAAATGTCATCAACCTAGCTGTAACGGTACTGAGGTTATCGTGTTTACTTACACACACACAGACATACGGACAAGATTGCAAAACTATGATTTCTGGCTGAGGGAGCTGTAAAACGTCGAGATTTGCAAAAATCTCGATTTTTTTGCACGATTACAGACTTGCTCTATACTTCGTATATACAAGAAAGTAAAAATCGGTAGCCCTAGTGAAAGAAAAGCTAAATGTAATTTTAAAATATTGCCACAAGTAAATCGACACGTATAGATTGTATAGACATTAAAATCCTTAGTAATATCTTACAACGTATATGGACTCTAATAGCCATAGTAATATTTTACAACACTATGTATATTATGACATGGATCTTAGTAAGTCCGAGAGAGGTAGGCAGATAACTGGCAAATTTATTTTCGTAATATAATGTTTCCATCTATAAGCATAGATATGCAAATCAGAGAAAAAAGTTATGTAATGTGATCAAACACCTCCTGACAGTCACAGAGCTTTTTGTACAACGTCCACATGCGAAGAACAAGAACACAACTTCAGTCGAGCTACAATGGGAAGCCTCTACACTTGGACCCAATAGAACGTACGATGTATCGTGGGTATCGGCCAGTGATGAAAGAGATATAGGAACACAGGCCGCCAATGAGAGCGGTGTGACGGTTATTGGTCTAACACCAGGTACCAGATACAAAATCACGGTCTACACGATCCTGCATCCACAGGTTTTTTACACTTCTACACATTTCAGCACAACAGTATATATTTTTACTTGTGAGTATATTTGGGCAGCAACGATTTAATTAAACTTTAGACTTTATTCTCATCATCCGTTTATATTTTTGTGGTGGTTCATTTTCTTTAGCTCTGTGTTAGTTTTGTTAACGTTATACTCGACAATAAAGTCTTATTTTTTGGATGATAGTGAATTGGAAATGGAATCCTTTTAAAACCCTACGCTATGATAAATAGTATTTTAACTGGTAATTCATACTATATGGCTTTTGAAGATTCAAGTTATTTACATAACATTTTATTTTACAAATCTCATCCTATGCCTAATTATACTATTACTCCAACTAGAAATCGATTAATATTTTTTTTTTATTATCTGGCACAACATAATTGTTTTGTAAGCTACTCATTAACAACATATTCTTTTTATTTTAATAATTTTGAAGACCCAGCCCAACCAGGTCCAGTGAATACCACAACAAGTAAGCTTGATAAACCACCTTATGTCATACAATTTCAACCATCGAGAGGAAGGGTAGAGAACTATATTTTTTCTTTTGAATCAAAACTTCAAATACCAAAAATTACAGTTACCTACCCTAAATTCGAGCGATTAGATCTTCAAGTATACACGGAATACAAATACAGCATTAAAGCTGTCAATTATGTTGGTGATGAAAGTGGTGAAGTAGAAGGTAGTTTTAAAACAGCAAAATCAGCAGGTACGAATTTATTTAACGGTACAATATTCATTCAAATGGCATAATGGAGGTTCATATGTAATTTTATGCTTTTAATTAACACATTCTCTATCGGCGAATAGAACAGAAAAGATGGTTCTAAAAGGTTCCAAAATGGCTGTTCTAAGACTGGCTAGATTATGCCCTCATTTAGTTAGCATCATTTTGCCTTGAAATAAATATACGTGTATTTAAGACTGCAACAGATTATTGACGGCTTCTAGCGGAGCAATAATGAGCCCAGGTTATCCCTCAAGTTCTCCTACAGTATACTGTACATGGACAATACAAGGATCCAAAGAAACTATAATAGCCTTAAAGTGAGTTTAAATTCCAACGCACTAATAGAAATAGCTGTTATTGTACAACGATAAAAGTGAAAATTTTAAAAGATGTTATTATTGTAATTGATAAACATTTTAATTTCACATAGTTCCTATGCGATTTGTTCTAACTAGAATTAGGTGAAATAGTGTGTTTATTAATTTTCTAATAATCATAAATAACAGCTCAATGTGTCTTAGACATATGTCCGATTTCACCGATTCGGACCACCGGCATTCGGGAAAATTTCCCTCGGGCACATTTCAGCCGAGTTTCTTTACCAAAGTTTTTTCCCAGGTAGCAATTAAAACTTTCTAGGAGCGCGTTTAAATTTACTTTGTAATGTAAAAATATAACACATGAGTTCCCCTTCTGTGGGTCGCGATGGGTTTTAGGAGGGCTTCTGATTTGTTGGCTAAACTTAGAAATTATTTTATAAAAAAGGGTCGTTTGATGACCTGTGATATAACATATAGTTAAATACAAATACTTGGTGTCATAAGTTCATTTTTACAATACTTCTAACGTTTTAGCATAACAGATATTAATATGGGTGTAGCTGACAGTTGTACTGATGATTATATTGAGATATTTGACGGAGCATGGATAACAGGCATGACATTTGGTAAAATGTGTACATCTCGGCAAACACTGACATTGTCTACAACAAACTACATGTTTGTCGTGTTTCAGTCAACAGGAAGTGGAAAATTTCTTGCTACCTACAAATTTCTAGGTACACATTTATTCTAGATCACTTTATCGACTTTGCCTATCACTTTCTCTCTAAATCCTACCTTCTCTATATCCTCTTTTTAGTGATTTCATGCCCATCTAACATTATATTTCAATTATCTTGTACAGAAACACATATCACACTGAGCGAGCCTCAAGGTTTCATCTCTAGTCCTGGATATCCACTGGATTATCTAAACAATACGCTTTACACCTGGACTATACAGGGCAATAATGATACTTACATTGTTCTTAAGTATGTATATATACACAGACACACATATATACATACACATAACACACACCAATCGATGGTCTCGGTCAAAAACCGACTATCTCAAAAATTCACTTTTTTTTTTACATAAATAAAATACCAGTACGATTCCCCATAATTCCTGAAAATGATATAGAAATCTGTTAAATGATTATCGAGATATAATCTTATGAACAAATAGCCTATTATTTATAGCACTTAAAATCTAGGCGCAAAACTAATATCGCTATATTTGTCAGTACACTTTTGATGGGAAACGTAGTCGCACGCGGCAGTCACACGATTTTACACCGCAGCAGTCAAAGTACTTAAAGGTAAGGATATTTGATTAATTATGTTCATCTATTCGATCGGTTTGAAAAATAAAGAAGAAGAATATCGAAAAAAAACAAGTCTCAAGAAATGCATAAGAAAAGACAAACTGCTGTCAAGCGAAGCTGAAGAAGCCATTAATATTAGGGACGTTTAAAATACAATTAAAAAGATATCTGGGAAGTACAGTAAGCAAGAGAGGCCAGTGAAGACCAAAGATGGAAAGATAATACCTGATGCGGAAGAGCAGAGGAAGAGATGGGCAGAACATTTTAATAACTACTGAAAAACTAACACCAGAGTGCACGCAAGACATACCACGAGCTAAAATGTATCTCCCAATAGACTGCAACCCACCTTCAACAGAAGAGATACATAAAGCTATAAAGCAGCTGAAAAATTGGAAGGCTCCAGGAATAGATGGTATACCGGCAGAAGCACTGACAGCAGATAAATAGACATGCACCACAATACTAAACACATTTTTCAAGAAAATCTGGGAAGATGAATAAATACCAGAAGAGTGTAAGGTGGGACTACTCATTAAACTTCCAAAGAAAGGCGATCTTAGTGCATGCTCTAACAATAGAGGGCTATCACATTTGTTCGTCTCAGGCAAAGTCTTTAAAAGAATGCTATTAAACAGAATGAAAGAAGCGATAGACCTACAGCTTCGAAATCAACAGGCGGGCTTTAGGAAGGAAATGTCATGCGTAGAACAAATTGCTATCCTACGCATCATCATTGAACAGATTAAAGAGTGGAACTCATCTCTTTATATTAATTTCATAAATTACAAGAAGGCCTTTGATTGATGGAAAGACAGTCAATGTTTAAATTGTTGAAGAGTAGTGCATGGCCAACAGACTTCGGAGGCCTTCCCAGTACGGACTGGAGTAAGGCACCGTTGCCTACTTTCACCATTGCTGTTCCTGCTGGCCATAGACTGGGTTATGAAGATGTCAACAGAGAAAACGCGAAACGGTATACAGTGAACACTGTGGAGCCAGCTGGATGACCTGGACTTTGCTGACGACCTGGCCCTTCTTTCTCATACACAACAGCAAATGCGAGATAAAACTAACAGTGTTGCTAATTTTTCTACATGCCTGGGCCTGAACATCCACAGAGGGAAAAGTAAAGTGCTCAAAATCAATACATCAAACAGCAACCCTATAACATTGGAAGAAGAAGCTCTAGAAGAAGTGGATAGATTCACCCACATTTGAAGTATTGTTGATAAACAGGGTTGGACAGAAGCAGACATTAAAATAGGGACGGGCTAGGCAAAAGCCTAAAAAATGTTTGGGGTTCTGGAGATTTAACCCCTGGAGTAAAAATCCAGATATTTAACATCCAAGTAAAACATGTTTAACTCTATGGAACTGAGACTTTGAGAATAACTGCAATAAATAATAAGAAAATACAATCATTTATAAACGCATGTCTCAGATTTATCCTGCGAATTCGCTGGCCTAAAACCATCATATATGATGTTCTATGGCAACGGACAAATCAACTTCCAGTTAAAGTTGAGATCCTCCAGAGAAAATAGAATTCACAGGGCAGGAGGAGGAGAGGCAGACCAAAAAAGACCTAGAGACTTGACCTAGAAGAAGACACTTAGAAGTTTGGATACACCTGGGGACATTTGGAGAGACTAGCCCAGGACAGAGGCGCCTCAAAGGTTCTTGTCAGCGACCTATGGCCCAAGATGGGCGATAGGCAAACCTAACCTAACCTATTTGATTAATATCGCCTTTATCCAGTAGATTTTCGAGAACCAACCTGATTTGTTTACAATTTTTATTAGGCTGACACAAAGCTTGGAAAATAGATCTTCATTCTAGAATCTAAATCTAGAGATCAATTAAAACAATATTTAATCGAATTGGGATCTACGACAAATTCCCGAAAAACACTTGCCCGAATGCCGTTTGCCCGAAGGCCGATTTCCCGAATCAATTAAAATATGAGCCCAAAAGTATAAGGGGTCATCCATAAATGACGTCACACTCGTAGGGGGGAGGGGGGGGGGTCCGTAATTTTGTGACGATGTGTGATGAGGGGGAGGGGGGGGGGGTCAGATGTTGCGACGTCACATTTTTGCATTATAAAAAAGCAATGTTAGAAAACGAATTTTAGACGTTATTTCGCGTTTTAGATAACTGTTTTAATAAATTGTAATAGTTTAGACAAGATTTTGGAAAAATATCGATGTTTTAAAAAAAATTCAACTGTAATTTTGAGGGGGGGGGGGGGGGTTGTAGGTTGAGGTGTGACGTCATTTTAGGGGGGGGGGTCTGACTTTTCGTGACGACGTGTGACGGAGGGGAGTGGGGGAGGTAAAAATCGTCAAAAAAGCGTGACGTCATTTATGGATGACCCCCTAATCTAAATATTATAAGATGTTAATTATAACTTAAAAACATAAACATAACTAAATCATTCATCATTTATTTGATAAAACGAACTGACGTGTCTGAGACCGAAATTCTCGGTTCAAAGCAGCTAAGTCTGCGTTCGCACAGATAAACGATTTGGCAACGACAGTTTTAGACCGAGCAAAATCGACTATCTTTTAAATCCGCTATAATTTTGTAAATGTTAACAAAACTCATTTTAAAACGCTAAAGTATAGTAGGTAGAGAGGATCTAGCACGTATCATTTAAAAATGTGTATTAGAGCGATGAACAATGAAATCATCAATTTTTTGTCTCCCCTGTAAAATTTACACTTTCGAGTTTTTAACCGAGACCATCGATATATATATATATATATATATATATATATATATATATATATATATATATATATATATATATATATATATATATATATCAATGTATTTGTGTCTGTGTGTGTCTTTCATGATTTACTATACGTTTCATCTGATCGCCATGAAACTTTCCGAAATTGTAGAGAATAATCCTGGGGAGGTTCCTGTTAATAAAACACCTCAAATTCGCAGGGTTGGCGCACGGCAGGGCACGATTTTTTTCTCTATATACGGTATATACAAATAAAAGTCGATTAGGGTTTTGCACGGGTTTGCCCACACTATCGATGTCATGTTGGGTGAAAGCCTTGCGTGTATGCCTAAGTTAATCAATCTCCGTTGTGTTGCTTTTATGAACAATTTCTGTAATGTTTCGCCAATTGCGCATGACGCAACCTGCATAGGTTTGTAAATACACCGTAAGTTTCAATAAACATGTACTTTGAATTTTAGAAGACTTTCGAATTAAAATGTTTTATATTTTAAAAAATGTAAGTTGAACTTTATCATTAAGTGTTTCGTTGAAATTACTTAATTCAGAGGTGGCTGCATTGCGCGTAAGGTAAGCTTTATATATATATATATATATATATATATATATATATATATATATATATATATATATATATATATATATATATATATATATATATATATATATATATATATATATATATATATATATATACATATATATATATATATATATATATATATATATATATATATATATATATATATATATATATATATATATATATATATATCAGCTCCAAAAAGATGATAAGATTTAATTCCACAAACGGTTGACAAAATTCATTTTTCTGCATTCAGTATAACAGGTTTTGACCTGGAGAACTGTGTCTATTGTGCCTGCGACAACCTTAAAATATACGACGGATCCACAAATACGTCGCAGTTATTTGGGAGTTTCTGCTCTTCATCTTCACCTGGGATTATGGCCTCAACCAGCAACTACATGTACCTTGAATTTAAAACAGATAGCTCCAAGACATACAAAGGCTTTTATGGAAAATACCAGATCATAGGTAGAAAATTTACAAAATATTTAAAAGTTTCATCGAACATGTACTGTTCTTATTTTCTTATACTTAGACGTGTTTTATTTTAAATTATTAACGGGTATATAATTCTAGCCTATAATAAGAAATGATTTCTAGGTTTATAGATTGTTTTAACTAGTGTTGTAGCTCAAATGTAACTCTCTAACAACAGTTTGTTATGTTACCAGACTCGTAGTATTTAATTGAAGTAAGTAGGTCACTAATTTCTCGTAAACACATTTGTTTGAAACAAAATGTGTACATTTTTTATTAAGTCGGTACGGTTTTTAAAAGAAAATGTATATATACTTCCGCTATTGGTTATTGCTTGAAAATCCTAAACAATTATAATGTTAAAGGAAAATGTAGCCTACGTTAAATTGAGAGTTTGTAAGCAAGCGTACATTTTGTAATTATTTATTCGAATCCGTAACCAGTTGCCCAAAACCTAGTTACCTTATTACCGGTAATTTAATATTATTAACAGCCTAAGCATACAGCCGCTCACTTTGATTCTATTATAATTTTTATATTCAGAAAAGCATGCAAATATATTAGTTTGCAGAAAACGTTGTGGGCTTTTTTTTTTTAAATAGCAGTTGCATTTTTGTAACTCTTGGTTGGTTAAAATATCGAAGCCATGCCTAAAAGCAAATAGCGATTAATGCTTTTATTGAAATAATCATTAGAAGACCTAGATAATCAAAGGACTGCAGCTACAACTTCTTAGGACTATTTTTGGGCAATTCCCTATAGCTGAGTAAAACAAGCCAAGCAGCCTTTATTTTTCCTTCTGTTTTCATTCTTTTTGGATACTAAACGTGTACTTTATTATGTCAACATTACACACATTTAAAATATTTTCTTTGTAACCTAATCACTGCCTCGAAACTAATAAAAAATATTTTCAGACCGTAGTCGATTTCTGGCGTGAAACACACCGACGTGGATAAATATTTTGTACCGTCTTAACTAGAATAATTGAGTAGTTTTATTAAGATTATTCCTGTTTTTCCCTCATTTTATTATTAAAAAAGTAAATAGAATAGTAATCTGATATTATTTTATATAACTACTAAAATATCTAATTACATTTAAAATGTGACATTCTCGCTTTGTCGTCTATGACGAACGTATCTGAATAAAAATCATTGCATTAGAAATGTGTTAAAAATTAGTTAGAAAATTTACAACAAACCCCCACAAAAAATAAACAATACAAAAGTAGGACATTCCCCACGCCGTCAATTATACCCCAAACCAAAATTGATCACAGAAGAAATTACGCCCTGTGAATTACACTCATGTCAATTACCCACCTGCCTATTAACCCCCCCCCCCTTCCTTGTCGGGGAAATACCACCCTCGCCCAAGCTCAAGAACCCTGACTCAAATTCCAATTCTATACATATGTCTTAAGGTTATTCCTAAGAAATAGCCTAAAATAAATAATTCACCTCAGCCTAAAACTAAACCCTAACCAAACAATAGCCCCAATCCTAGGCATTAGTTTAAGCTTAACCCTGACCCTAAATCTGCATCTAACCCCAACCCTAACCCTAACTGTACCTTAAGCTATGATAGGGTTATGTCCTACTACGTGGTGAGTAATTGAGAGGGGGTAATCGATAGAGGGTGGTAATGTCCGGAGGGTAGTTGACAGGGGGGGGGGGAATGCCCTGTTCCCCAAAGTATAGACATTGTGAATTTAACACAAAAACTAGTATACAAATACGGTTATTCTTGACTAAGCAAACACCTTTTTAGTATGCCGTAGTTAAAACAACAAAGAGATTATTTTTTGCTCAGCTGGCCAGTGTGACCAGGTAGGCATACCTCAATTAACATCTCGGACAACCGTTTGGACATTGAATAATAATCACTAACATTTAGCTCAGAATGTTGAGCATTGATTTTCGCTGTGTTAGTTTGAACAATATTCGACCGGCAAACTAACCTTTACGGTAAAAGTGTGTTTAAATGAAGGCGGTGTTTTTTTTTTTATTTCTCAGAATTAAACACATTGCACATGAGTTCAGTGAATAACAATCACGTACATTCCAACTGAGGAAACGTTACACAATTTTTAGCTTTAACCGCTATTAAATGTATTATAAAGTTGTATAGTATCTTATACAGCAGATACTTATTTAATTTCTTTAAGTGCATTCTTGAGGTAAGTGTTAATATTTTACAGATAAATCAACAGTTATCCATGCAACATTCGGGACAATTGTTAGTCCAGGTTATCCATTGGGCGTTCTAAAGAATACAACATATTACTGGACTATACTGGGAGAATCTGGGACATATATGCATTTAAAGTGAGTAGCTTTCACATCTTTGTTTGGCATAATATTTATTATCCTTTATATGGCTATATATATATATATATATATATATATATATATATATATATATATATATATACTTTTTCTAACCAAATAATAAAAACACATTTTATTTTTTAAATTGACGTTTTTATGTATTAGACACTTATTATTACCAATTCATATTCTAAATATTCAATAATCTGTCTTTACCACCGTAGATAACATGTGTTTAACTCTATATAATAATTACGGGTATTTTATTTAGACTGTTTCTTTTTTGCGACAGCATAGCATCTTTTGAATTAAAGAAAACTTTCTCAAATTGTACATATAATACTGTACAAATTTACGAGGGTAGCAACGACTCGTCACTTTTATTACCTAGCATTTGTGGCAATAGTGAACAAGAATATATAACCACATCATCTAGCTCCATGTACATCGTGTTTAGGAGTGATGTTGCTAATTTTAAAACAGGATTTAATGCAACATTTTATTCTCAAGGTAATTTATACAGAACTCAATATTTGAATTTGTGGGATAGCACAAAAATATATAAGTGTTTGTGTTAGTGTACGGGTATTGGTACGCATGGACGTATGCGTGTAATGATAGATGTAGGTGAATGTGCGTGTATGTGTATGTTTTTACTAAATGGCTTTTCTACTTATAACAGCAAATTCTATGCATATTATTTTTTTTTATATTGTTTAATCATCACTGTGTTATTGTCAGATCTGCCATATGGCAAGTCCTGTAATAGACCTTACCAATGCCGAAGTAATCTGACTTGTGTTGGTGCCTACTGTAATTGTCCAAATGAAACATACTACAATAATTCTACATCTACATGTTACCCGAGTGAGTTGTTTTTACAATTCAGACACTCATTTAAGTATAAAAATTGCAACAGTGCATTATCAATATCAGAATTAAGTGATCGAGATTGCTAACCCCAAAAGACATTCGATTTGATTCGGGCCGATGTGGATTGTAGGCTTATTATAACAACCATTACGTATAGAAACGCAAGAACTAAACAAGTACTCTCATGCAGTTTGTTCTTGGGTAGACACAGACTATGGAGGTGCATTCAGAAAGAAAAGCAAGATGGATTTGGAGGAGTGAACCTGTAAACTAGCACTAGTTTTCAGAGAAATTCCTGTCAAAGTGTTTTAATGATTTATACTAATATATGCTATACTTTATTTGTAAAAATAACCATGTGTCAAAAACTGTCAAAGAGTATAAGGAAATTCGATATTTAGTTAGAGTGAGATTAGGTCTAATAGTAAAAATTGGGTCGAACGACGAATTTCCACATGTATAAGGATTACGCATAGTAAAAAATACATATTTCTGATTTATAAAATGTAAGGATTTATTCATGTATTACAGAAATCGCTTTTAAAGAAAACTGTACGGAAACAAAACAATGCAAAAGTAACCTGCTGTGTTTAAATGGAATGTGTTCATGTGATACGGACTACTACTACAACGGAAACAATGTTATGTGTACGCCAGGTAAAGCAAAACATATATATAAAACATATATAAAATTATTTTTTAAAACTGTTAAAGTGAAAATATAGTTATTCTGCATATTTACACTATAAAAGTCTCCTTTTTTTTAAAAACAAATGTTTTTGTCATTTATATTTATGTTGTGTTCTTTATAATTTAGCTGATACTAACAATAGTTTTTTTTAAACAAACACTTCTGAATAAATAAAGAAATAAAAATGCAATTTTTTGTGCACTGGAAATTTGAATAAAATGGTAAATATTTTGTAGAGTAAGTTTTCTGAAAACTCGAGCAAGAGAATTCAAAATTGTTCTAAATACTCCAGCACTAGATCACTATTTGGAATGCAACGAGACGGTGACAGCTATCTGTAAATCAAGCACAAACCTTTATTGTCTGCCTGATGTCAATAGAAATTTAAGATGTTTGTGTACGGATACATTTTATTTTGAAAACAACACATGTGTTTCTAGTAAGTTTTTCATTATTTTGTGTAAAATATTAGGTTGGTTATTGTATATTGTAATAGATTGAGATAATTGTGAGGTCAAGGGAACTCACTCTTCTGTATTAGTATTATATTTATATTGTTATCTTGAGTGATGTCCCTGGTATATCGTACTTCCTCTTCCTCTTTCCTTCATGGCTGTAATTAAAGACTGTTAACAACCAACGCGGCTTCTCGTCAGTGATTACAATCTATCACATTTTGGCGACGAGGATAAAGATCGACTAGAAAGAGCACCTACTTACGCAAAAAAGAGGTTTGCTAGAGCTTATTAGCTAAGTATTTCTAGAATAATGGCGCTGTATGGCCAAATAAAAGAATTTGATTCGGATGATGAAATCATTCAAGATTACCTAGATAGGTTAAGCTTTTACCTTGAAGCAAACGACGTGACGATAGAAGCCAAAAAGAGAGCTGTTTTGTTAACAGTCATAGGGCCTCAACAATTTAGGCTACTAAAGGACTTATGCGCACCAGCTAGTCTAACTACCAAGAGCTTTAACGAGCTGAGCAAATTGCTAACAGACCACCATGCGCCTACCCCATCAAAGTTTCTATGTCGAGCTAGATTTGACAGTAGGACTCGTCAACCAAACGAGTCAATATTAGAATATGTTGC